GGCAGGGCGAGCGGTGCCGGGTTCGGTCCCTGGTATTTAGGCGCTGCAATCTGATCTCAGGGGGAAAGCGTGATTCATCACTGGAGCTGGGAGCGCTTCCAGGGACGGATCCTGGCTCGGAGGGTGGTGGCAACGTGTGCCAGCTCCTGCCCTGCCCTCACAAGGTGGCCCCTTCGCCCCGGGAGGGTGGGGGGTCCCCGGATGAAGCCGAAGCGGCCATGGCTGCGCAGGGAGGGCACCCAGGAGCATCCGCCCGAGCCTGGGGGGTTGGATGCCACTGGCCATTTGGGAATAGCTTGGCTCACTTTCCCTCCTGCCTCAGTTTCCCCAGCTGAGAGCCGGGGGGGAGCCCCCCCTTGGTGCCCACCGCCGGCAGTGATGCAGCGCTGCCGTGGGGATGCCGCTGCGGGAGCCGGCACGGGGTGAGCACTGCCACCGAGTCCCAGGACCTGGCACCTGGGGGGGGCTCATCACGTACCCACCATGGAGATGCCGGACCTGTCGCAAAACACCCTGTGCACCGGCCTGGGCAGAGAAGGTCGGGGCAAATCCTGCGAGAGGGAGGTGAAGTGACCCAGCAGGACCGGAGGAGGAAAAAGAGGAGGAGGAGGAAGAGGAGTGCAGCATGGGCATGTGCCCAGCTGGGACAGAGATGAAAGGGTAGCCCGAAGGCTCTGTCTGTCCCGCAGGGACCTTGAGAGCTCCGCGGGAATGGGGCCAAACCCTTCCCCCAGGCCACAGGCGCCGGCGGCTCCCGCTTATCTGGGTGCTGGGTCCCGCTCTGCCCCGCAACAACAGGGGACGAGGAAAGCGCAGTTCCTGCCATAGCTGCTCCCGAGGGAGACATCAGCCCGGCCAGGGGCGCGACACGGGGCTGGGTGGGGGGTCTGGCTGCAGGGACCGAGCCCCGGAGCCCCCGCCAGCGTGCCTGCGTCGAGCTCCTGCGGTTTTATCTCCGCTCAGCCCAGATACCGGGCTTTCAACATTTGCGTCAAGGCTGCCTGTCCCGGCAGCTCCCACGGCAGCCCTTGCGTGTGCGTGTGCCACCCGGTGCCACGGGCTTACCGGTGCCCCAAGCAGCACTCGGCCACGCTCCTGCAATGCCCTTCACAGTGTGCGCGTGTGTGCACCGCTCAATGTGCACGAACAGCCCCGTAACAAGCAGCCGCTGCAACCAGTGACCCCGTTATTAGCAGCCCTGTGCGCTTGTGTGACGGAGCCGACAGGGGCCGATGTGACGGGGTCGGCCACCTTTGAAGCAGCAGTGATGGACACCCAGTTTTGGTGATGTCCTCCTCTTGCCCCAGTTCCCTCCCGGAGCTGCCGGCCACGCTCGGGCGACGCCGGGGGATTTCACACCCCAGGTCTGGGGCTGCTGTGTACCACCACCACCACAAAGTGTCTGCCGCCGGCCTGTGGGGTAAATCATCCGACGTGTCCATGACATCCGACCCGGCACCCTCTGCCCATCGGGCACTGAGGCTGGGCCGACCTTCCCGCAGGCTTTCCCTTTGCATTGGATCCTGACGCTCACACACGGGCCACCTGGCTGGGACACTGCAGGCGTGGGCGATGCTCCGGGGAGACCGTGATGGAGCCGTCCCTTCCCAGCACGAGGGAGCTCATCAGGGAGCAACCGCTGCTATTTATTCATCACCGATTCCACGTGCAATGCACTTAAGCAAGAAGCCCTTTGCCTTCGCCCTTCTGATGCCATTTACGACCCAGGGACCCTTTTCCAAACCCCATTTTTCAAACAGCGAGCGCAGCGCTGGTTTTAAGCATCGCGGCGACCAGTCCCCGTGTCCCAACGATCGCTGGCAGGGTCACTGCTACCCGAGCGCTGGCGGAGAGGGCTCGTCGCTGGGTTTTTCCATATCCTGGGGCGAGTGACGGGGAGCAACGGCTCCGTCTCCCCTTCCCGTCCCCGTGGAGGGGAGATTTGGAGTGAGCAGCTCCAG